TAAAACCAAAACAGCAATTATCAAGTACCGGACAAGTTAAGCGATACCAAACTAAAAATAAATTTTAGTTAAAAATGTGTCATTGTTAATGACAAGTCACGTTTTCGGCATGGATCCCAACTCCAGTGACTAGCGAGGGGTCAATGTATGTAATATATAGGGCTGGCAATCAATAAAAATAAGATCCAATCTCTATACAAAACTCACATTTCTATATTGACCATTTTAAAGAAGTCTCTATACACAATTTAGAAAACGCATTATGAAAACTTTACACATGTTGTATCAGTCACAATGCATACTTACATCACTCCATTCACTACTCTGCCAAATAAACTGAGGGCAATCTTCAAATCTCACGTAAATCTCGTATCCTGTGCGAGTCACTTCGGGATCAGTACTGAACGTTACCACTACGTTGGCGGTAGATGACACCCAGGGAGGTGGAAGTCTGTTTCCACAGAATTCACTCGACAATGCACTGTTACCAGAGTCTTCAATCTGCAAGTTAAAATTATTATCAATAGATCATTTTCAATTCACTGCGAGATCCCGCATTCTGTGTGCAATCGAACATAATAAGCCATGCATGGCACAGTCTTGTTAGTTATCAAATTTAAGATATATAGTTTTGTTTATAGTAATAAACATGTCAGAGATATGGATTCACAAGATGATGCTCAATTATGATGATTTTTTAACACAAAAATGAATGACAACTTGTATCTGATCGTCAAACAAGTACTTGTCCATATTGAGAAATATTGCTTTGAAACAGCATTAATTAAAACAAAATGACCATCAATTTTGAATACATCTATATATCTATAACATGATATAAAATGCATATACGAATATATAACATGTATAACGCATTCATTTAAACAAAATGGCCACTGGCCTGAAAAATAAAATGATGTGCATCAGGAAACCATAATGTCTAATGTATGTGTCAAGTGTGAACAAAATCCATCAATAAACGCCAAGTTCTGGAATGCCAGAAATGCTTGATTTTTGATGATTCTTTAGCACAAAAATGGCTGCCATTTAGAATCAGATAGTCAAACCAATATATCCATGTCATGATGTATAATAGATATATAAAATTTGATCATAATCAGTCAAAGCATGGCAGACATATGGCACTAGAACTGCATTCATTAAACAAAATGGCCGCCATGGAATATCAATCGAACCCAAGCATCTTGATCATGGTTAACAATATTTATAACCTATACCTACCATTAATGAGTCCCTATCACAGACACCAAATGTACTTCCATCTTGTACGTCAAATGCCAGGAATATCAATCGAACGCAAGCATCTTGATCGGGGTTGACGATATTTATAATACACTGGTCCTTATTATTGTAAGCTTCTGGGTAGTTTGGTGAACTGATATACTGTTTGCTCTCAACAATATTATCACTACAGTCTATAACAGAAAATGTCATTTCATAAAGATAGACTTTTACATTTGTCAGTTGAAGAGTCTCATTATGCGAATCAAACGACAAATAGCAATATTGTCTGCATTAAATCTAACATTATAGGTCTCCTGCTTTTATTATTATAAGGTAATGTTATTAAGGACACCAAAATAAGGTCATCGGGCAATGATTTGAAAAACAAAAGTCCGAAATATCTTGACATAAATATGCATTCTTGCGCTGGTTTTGATGATGAAATAATTCTCAATTTTTGTTTTGGTTACATAGGATGAAAAAGTAATTTGTTATTGATATGAAAAAAATTACATCTAATTCCAATAGTCTGGATAATTTCTCTATGGTTTATACAATGCTAGGCTCTCAGTCGTATTGCATTCCAGTGCATATATGTGCAGTAACATGCTCAGTATTGCAAAATTTGAATTCTATCCCATGATGCATTGCATACATGTTTAGTAGTGTAAAATCTGAATTTCCTTCTCATAATCCATTGCATACATGTGCAGTAACATGTTCAGGAGTGTAAAATCTGAATTTCCTTCCCATAATCCATTGCATACATGTGCAGTAACATGCTCAGTAGTGCAAAACCATATTTGACTTTGGCTCACCAGTGCAAAATTTTGAATTAGGATTGAACTACCTTTTTAGTCATCAACCTTTCAATGCTTGTGGAAAAATTAAACATCGCATTTGACAGCATAGGGTGAACTAACAGAATCTGTTGTTCATCAAATTTTTTGCTAC